TGTCACAGAAAAAAATTACATTTGCCACTTCTTCTATGCAACATTCAAGTGTAACCATAAATGTACATACCTTCAACGACTTTTATTACAGAGTTGTTTTTTAAACCCTCTATCATATGCAATTCAGCAAAGTCATCTAGCCTTGCACCATCAAGGAGCAAAGAAAAGCATGTTCTGAAACAGCTTTCAGGTCGATCCAAGACAACTTGTCTCATATCTTGTACATTGTCTTGAAGGGAAAACTAATAAAGTAATGTTTTAAATTATTGAATAATMTTATCAGACAAGATGTTGAACACAGATTTTATGGTTTGAGAGAATATCTAAGGGAATGGCAGTGTTTYGTGATCAAACATGGACTGACAGTGCGTCACAGGCATTACCCAGTCAAACTGCCTTAAAACACTTGCCTTATGTTGGATAGTGTTTAGAAAGTATCTTGATCATTAATATTCATTTTGTAATAAAATATTTGAGATTTGTAATATTTGGGATATTAAAAAGTGTGGCTTATACATGAGTATACAGTATTTCAAAAAGAAAATAGACTTCAAAAAGAAAGTAGACACAAAACTCCATGTGAGTGTTGGAATATGTACCACATGAACCCCAAGAATTGAAGGGCTGGATGCGAAAGCGRCTAAGTGACGATTTAGGGTATTTTTGATATTTTCGATAAATTCAAAAAAATCACTTCAATGGCTTATTTTCAGTCTAAATAATCTTATTTAGTACTTATTTCTCCTGATTTTTTCTAAAAAAAGAAAATACGGACTTCTTTGTCTTGAYAACTGATCGCTAGACAGTAAAATATCCTAGATCCTCTGAATAGGGTTAAAGGAAATTACAAGAAATAGCTGGCAAACATGATTATTTAGACCAGACACAAATGATTGAATGTATTTTTATTTCCCATTTTGCGAAAGTTTCAAAAATACCCTAAATTGTCACTTACGCCGCTTTCGCATCCAGCCCTTCAATTAATCTATTCAAGGTCGGCAGTATTCCGCATAAATTAGCACAATTACATGCAAGTAAATCATGTTAATTTTAATATATATTATACACACATGAAGTAGTTAACTTAAGGTGGATCACAACTAATGAAACACAAATTTTGAACTTTTTTAACTCTCTCGTTTCGCAAAAGTATTTAGTAAAACGTGCTAAAATTTTGATAAAACATGCAGTGATTATTGCAGTTKTTGACAGTTTTCAKTATTTAGWAATKTWTTGGCTGGTTTTAAATATACAGCGCATTTTCAAACAGTGATAATTCCAGTTTTCGACAATTTACTCTAAAACTAACAGTCGGATCATCTTGAAATTTTTAGAATTTGTATATCTCATAAAACTACATAAGGGCTATGAATTTGGTTGGAAAAACTCGGGCAGAAATAAAGATATGAACGCGGCTCAAAAATGAGCCCAAAATATGACCTACATAGAAGAAACAGCCGCATATGAATAAATATACAACCAATTGACATGATCTTGCGATATGTTGTACATCCATTTGTTAATATTAGTCTGTTTAAATGTCAGTTGTATACCTTTCAAATCAAACGAATTACAATATTTTTACTGGAGATGAGTAATAGCTAAAATTGTGTGGCCTGTTAAAAAATCACGAAAAGTCCATTTTCTTCGAAACGGCTCCAGAGATTTCTCTTATTCTCCTTGTACTAATAGCTCAATCCTTTATCTAATAGTTGCTGTAATTTTTATAGGCTTTGCTTTGCTTTGCCTATTTCGAGCCCAGAGTCTGTCTGGTACACTGACAGYGGACTATCGCATGAGCAGTGAACTAGTTCAAAATGRCATAGGCAGTGCTTCACACAGGAATCCCGACTAGTTTCTGYGATCAAAGATGTTCACAYAKGAAACCTGAATGCTGTTTTCAGCCAATCAGAATCGAGGTTCAGTTTGTACGGAGGGGTAGGAGCTAACGAGAAACTAGTTGGAAACTAGTAGAAACCAGWGATTACCCCACCATGGTAAGGCTATATTGTCTTCATAGAAAAGTTTGTGCCATTCAGTTCAGCAAAGATTTTGAAATAATTGGCTAKAAATAATAACCTAACAACACTAACTGAGCAAATGGAAAAAGAATTGATGTCAGAAATACTACCAACACTGTTTAAATCTGTTCCTTTTGTGCAGGAATGTGGATAAACCACTCGTGGAACCGTTCCAAGCAAATTCGTATACATTGGAATCGCCAAACAGATTCAGATTCATGTGAACATTCTTTGTGCTTGGTATGTATTGAAAATAATTGCTGATGATTCAAAATACACTTTCTGGAACTCGATAGCTAGTATAGTGTTATCTACCATGCATTGTCGTCCCTTGTGTATGTTTAAAAAATTGGCTGAATCGGCTTAATTAGTTTATTAGAATCGCATCATTTTGCAGACAGTTAAATAAACATWTGGTTTCTTCAGGCCGATGTTATAAATATTCATGTTTTAATTAATTAGCATAGGTCAATACAAAATATTTCGAGTTGGAAACTAGTCCAAAAAAATGCTGGATCCGCCCCTGCATTTATTTAATACTCTAYAAAAATTTTCAAAGGGCATGTAAGGCAACAGTTATTCACTTAAATCAATCAAGAAATAGAGAGTTACCGTAGCAGAGACAGGTTCACTTGTACCAGGGATAACAAACTCTATGGTAACAGTACCAATAGGAATATCAGGAGATGYATTCCCCTCATTATTCTGGACTAAGAACAAATAAAATTATACATTACATATTTGATATTGCAGCATACAAAGCCCGGGGTGGGTGGGTAACTCCCCTAGTTTTACCATAACAGAACAGAACGAGCATGATATCGTTATTGGCGCCCGCACTGCATGTGGATTACCTGTGGTATTCGTCACGATCCCATATATGCCTCACGGGATACAAACTATTACTGTACTTTGACAAGGTATGAAACACTTGTTGTGAGATGGATGCATGATGTGTGCACCAGGCAGCTGGGTACAACATCAGAAACCGAGCAGGCAAAAGATTTTGAATAGTCTCCGTATATGAGCCTGAGAATCCTGATCAGCTTTCTAGTTGTTTTTGATTGAGTTTAAAACTCAATATTCTGTATTAAA